TATAGTTTTGCATTTAACTCCTCTACTTTTTCATTCGGGCTTAGTCAGGTTTCTCCTATCTAAAAAATTACATTAATATTTATATAGTAATAAGCTAATAAGTAACTGCAAGACTGTTGCGAGACTCTTGAGCAAGACCAAGACCATGACCAAGACTGATTATGCGAGACCAAGACGAGTCTTGGTCTTTCATTTGGGCAACACTTATAGAAGACGCCTTATTTGTCTATCAGTGTCCGAAACTGCAAAAACAAAGAAAGAGAAACAGCAATCTTTTCACCAGTTCGATAGTTCATCGTGGCACAAAAATATACAAATACAGATCAACAGCAGAAAATTCGTTTTTCGGAAAATGGCCCGTTCTGAAACGCAAATGTTCGTTTGAAAAAAAAAACGCACATCGAAAACTTGATTCTATTACAATATTTCTTTGCCCAAATGTTAGAAAAGTAAAAAAAAAAAATTGTTTGCAACTATTTAGTATAAACAATCTTGCCTTGTATTTTTAGGATTTTTATCCAATTTGCATGATGGAGATGTTGATTGTTTAAGGCTTGGGGAGTTGCGCTTCTCTTTAAACCGCATCAATAGTATGAACAATCTGTGGATACTGAATGAGGGCACCATAGTCAAGATTAAGTGCGTTTACCTGATCGATGGCCGATTTCTACAACATTGAAATGTACAAAACATACCAAGGAATTACGACGGGAGAAGAGTGGGGGAAATGAAGGGAGAACTGAGCTAATACCGTAGGGAGATAGAAATAAGTTAATTTGCATGGAGTGACTGGTATCGGGGCTCATAAGGTGGGAAGCCCGCCCTTATTGCAACTGATGGGCCAATAAAAGGCACTAACCGCCCTACTAACTGATAACAAGTAAACTCAGTGTCTGTTGATCAGAATTTATTGCAAGTGCCCCCCCCCCCCTCCAACGGTAACAATTTATTGTTATTATAAAATAGCCTTCGTTAACAGCGCTCTCATTTGCGGCCTTATTACCGAAGCTCTACCTCCATCTCCCTGTCTTTCTTTATCTCAGGCCTAGCCTACAGTTAATAGACAGCCTCTACTCAATTATTAAAGTAAATATTTTTTTTTTATGAACTATTATGTAAAAATGTCTTCAAGCTTAAGCAATCATCCTAAATCGGTCTCTTGAAAGCTTTTATGTTAAGTATAATGTCAGTCAAAAACCAATATCAAAGTTTGGCTTTGAATTCAAATTTAAATATATATATTTTTAAAAGTTAGTTCTTTTTCTGTTAGCTATTAATTTTTATTTGTTTACTTTCACTTATGTATGTAATATATAATAAGGATAAGTTTTACGATCGTGAAATTTTTCGAGTCGTACGAAAGTTAAATTGCATATTTAGGGTTTTTATATGCTAAGGTTGTTACGGCAACTTTTTCCTCCAAATCGGTTAATCGGAAGTGGCACTTTATATAATGGACTAAACACATTTTTACGATTATCTCGAAAACAGCTCTACGATTGGGATTAAATTCATGATATCAATGTAAAATTAGGCAGTTTTAAATCAAATATGGTTATTATTCTAATTGGTGTTCTCTAACAGAGCTTAAATGGCTAATTTTCAATATTACCTTCCTCTAAAGTGCCTTTAATTTTTTTTTTGTTTAAAATAATTGACCATTTTACATTAATTTCTAATATGAGGAATGATTAAAAATAAAGTATGAAAGAATTTGATAAATAACTAAAGGAGAAATAAGAAATCGTAACGGAGAATAGTTGTAATTGAGGAACCAAAGGAATACGAGCGCACCCAAGCTCGCCCGAAAAATTAGAACACCCTTCCAAACGTATCATGAGATTAATATAATACGGATTCCAACAATATTATATAAATATACATACTTGGTTTTCATAAATTCTTTTGTTTTGTATTATTTAATATTTAATTGTATAGATTAAAGCGATATAAATATTAAAATTTGTATATATGAAGGTATTTTTACGAATAAAAATACCCACAATGAAATATAAATAAATATAGAGTCTATAATTTTTACTTTCACTTTGCTTTGTCTGAAAATACTTATTTCTGCTAAGAAGAGGTTGGTAAGTGAAAGTAATTTGATGCGCGCACTGCACCGGGTTTTTTAAAACATTCAATACTAATCTGCAACTGTCGACTGTTAACAATCAGCAGATGGTCTAATTAAAGTAAAGAAATTGCCATGTTAGGCATGGAAAAGGATAGCATCTGGCAGTACCTTTTTCCTGGCTTGAATCAATTACCATAGTTTGTTGAAGGAAGGAGGTCTCTCATCCAGCGATGTTTCAGTCTCCTCCTCGTATTGATGAATATGCCAGTTAAAGCTATATTTTTGATTAGTATGTCGGTGTAAATTATTGTGAAATCGTTTGTAAAGAGTTCTTATGTGTTAGTCTACTGTAGGCAGGAGGAAGTCGGTATATAAGGTTTTGTTTGTCCCGTACCAAGATGTTTTAGTAATAAGTCGTAATATTTTTGATTGGAAAGTGTGAAGTTTGTTTCAGAGGGTATTTTTAGCTATACCGTATATCTGTGAAGAGCAAGTCCATATTTAATAAAGTATATGTATATAATTAGTTTCTGTCTCAGTTCTAGTTTTGAAGATTTGGCAGAAAGTGATTAAAGTAGTTTGAGTCGTCTATTGAGGGTCTTCCGTTGCATTTTGACATGTCGGGAGCTATTAAATTAAAAATTATCAATTACACAATCTTAATAATTAAATAAAAGAACCTTTCATTCATAAAAAAACGATTCAAAAGGATTTTCTCAATTTTTTTCTTTGATATGTTCATTGCGGTGCAATTCCTTTTAAATCATTATCGGAGGCGGAATTTTCCATTGTTCAATCTAATTATAAAACATAGTTTTCAACTGCATTAAAATTAATTATTAAATTATTTAACTATTTCTTAAAAAAAAAAAAAAAGATTCTATGTTTGACGCGGATGCTCTCGTCACGGTTGGAAAGCGTTTGATTTATTATGACTTATCCGAATCAGCAAGATGATCTATCCTATATTTATGAACGGTGAGCTTCTTCTTTTCTGTAGCTAGAATTTCCGGAAATTTTTCTACTCTCTCTCTTACCCGGAAGTTGTCCGAAATTATTTACAATCAAGAAAGTCCATATTTTAAAACCAAAAACAAAAGTATGTAATGCATAAAAAAGCAGACTTTCTACTAATAAAAAAAATGAATAAACATTCTAAAATAAAAAATTAATAAACGAAAATATTTAAATATAAATATAAACTAAAATAAAATAATCAACTGTAATCTAAAAGAAAACAATCAAAATGTTTACTTATGTATATACATTTTATATCTAAATAAAATAAAATAATGTACAATTGAAAGACTAATATGCAGATTATTTTTTAAAAATTTATTATGAACAAAAAAGTATGCATATTGAAAATAATTTAAAAAGTGTCCCATAGTCCTAAGTTCCCAAATATTTTCGAATCAGAAATTATAGAAATATAATACATGACTAATTTATATAAAACTATATGCTTCATCCTTGTTATGTTTTCTTTTTTTGTATCCCAGAACGTATTGTCTTCTTTCCAATGATTTATCAACCGTTCTCGGTAATTTTAAACTTCATTGTGGTCTTTGTGAAGAAGTCACCGTTTACAAAGGCTGAAATATAAGATAAAAAGTACCTTCTAGAGAGAAACAGCTAATACAACGATTAGGTAAAAAGGTAGAGGGCAAAGGTAAAGCAAAGTAAGATAAAGAGTAAAGGTAAAAATAAAGAGATAGAAGGAAAACAGAAAGGAAGAAGTGTATCACAGGAAAATGAGGCATCATAGATGAACTATAGAACTGAATTATATTAATTTTATTACATATATGAATGATTATAAAAATAAATTGATTATAAAAATATGATTTTTAATATTACACAATTTGAAATATACACATTGTTTTCTTATAATAAAACCTGTAAAATGTATAGGCAAATAACTTAAGGGATATTTTGGGGTATTATACCAAACGAGCGTGACTTAGTCTAGAAGATTGTCTTGCGAAATAGTAACACTTTTCTTTCATGTACACTTTTTCATGCGCGTGCAATGATTGGGCGTGGGCTGGAGATAAGAATGACTGAAGAGTAAGTCAATTTTGATTTTTCTACAAAATGTGAATATTTAAAAATAAAGTTTAGTGAAATATGTATATTATTCTTACATTATTAAGTATATAGTAAAAAAAAAATAGAAAAAAAAATTATATAGTATAACATAAATATATCATTAAAGTACAGTAACAACATATTCTGTTTAAATAAGTAAAATTTTTTTACTCCACTGCCATTCTAATCTCCTCAATTTGTAAATTGGTTGTTATTGTATCATACCTTAAGGATCTCCCTTAAGTTGAACTTATTCCCAAGCATGTTAAGATAGATACAAATTTTATTGAATACCAACGGATTTGACAGAAGAAGAAATGCATATGGCATAAATTGATATATTTTATAGATCACGGAGGAAAATACGAAGTCCGTTTTTCCTATTGTATGAGACAACGATATCTTTACAATGGTCTAGACTTCGTTAAAAATTCTGATGTACTACTTGTAGGTAGTGTTGCCCAAATGCAAGACCGAGACGAGTCTTGGTCTTGCAAACTCAGTCTTGGTCATGGTCTTGGTCTTGCGCAAGACTTTAGCAACGGTCTTGCAGTTACTTATTAGCTTATTACTATAGAGATATTACTATAATTTTTTAGATAGGAGAAACCGAACTAATCCCGAATGAAAAATTAGAGGAGTTTAATACAAAAGTATATTGGCTTTACCAATTATTAACATATAATAACTAAGATTGTCAAGTATTAGTAACTATTTTGCCTCAAATTTTATTAAAATAATCGATTTTTTTTACCAATCCTGGTCTTGGTCTTGCAACAGTTAGGCGCCCTTGGTCTTGCTCTTGCGAAGTGCAAGACCAAGACCAATTTTAGGCAACACTACTTGTAGGGGTTGCTGAAGCATAGTCGATGTTTTTTGCAACTTCTTCAGAATCGGAAACCGCATTATATGTTGTCATATTTTATGTCTATTATTACTTTTAATTTCTCCTTTGGCTAAGATATCATGTAAAAATCCCGATTTAATTATTTTTGAAATATGATTATATAACAAAAAATAATATGATAAGCTGACTGACTAAATATTTTCGTCACAATGATGAAGGTTTTCGGTTCGATGGCATAGTTTCAAGAGTGCACAGTAGTATTCAGTAGGTATTATTTTAATGTTTGGATATAGCGGCATGATATTGGTTACATTCCACTTTCGAGTGAATTTAATTTTGAAGCACTGCTTGGAGGAATCCCTGAAGCATCATTGAAATTTGTACCAACTTCGTCAATATCGGTAACAACATTAAATGGTACACGCTCCGTGCTCTTTTCCCTGTACTGAGGGTTAGTATCAGCACCCCTGGAGAGCAGCAATTCCACCGTCTCGATGTGCCCGCTCTTCTGTGCTACCAAAAGTGGAGTCATTCCGGCGTTGTCCATGGCCTCCATGTCGGCACCGCTGTCTAGCAGTAACTTGGCAGCTTCCGCCATATTGTTCCAGGCAGCCTGGTGAAGGGGTGTCCTTCCATGTTCATTCAGGGCTTCCTTATCCGCCCCGAAATCAAGTAGGATCATCATCGTTTCACGGAATCCTTTTGCAGCCGCAAGGTGTAAAGGGGTTGCGCCTCTGTTATTCTTGGGATTGACAAAAGCACCTCCTTCAAGCAAAATCCTGAGTGTCTCCTGTTGGCCGAACATAGCGGCCCAGTGGACTGGACGCTGACCGAAAACGTTGTCGGTAGCCTCCATGTTGGCACCTAGGTTGAGCAGCAATCTAGTCACTCCAGGCCGACCCCTGAACACAGCAACAAAAAGTCCCGTGAAGCCTTCGGAGTTCTTGACATCAACATGTTCTCCGCGGTTAAGGATCATCTTTACCATCGCGACATCTCCGTACCCTGCTGCCCAATGTAAAATAGGAGCGTCTTTTGGTTCTTTAGGGTGTATGTCTGCCCCGTGATCTAATAACAACTTCACCAGATCAATGCTACCGTCCATCATTGCCAGGTGAATTGCTTCTAAATGTTGGTTGTTTCGCATGTTGATGTCGGCCCCTCTTTCCAGTAAAAGTTTGACCGTTTCCAGATGTCCACCCGCCGCAGCTTTCATAAGTGGAGTGTTGCCTATCGAGTCCCTGGAGTGAATGTACGCACCGTTGTCCAAGAGGATCCTCACAATCTCCAGGTATCCATTGGCAGACGCTATGTGAAGAGGTGTCCTGAACTCCATATCTTTCATTTCCGTGTCCGCTCCGTGTTCCAAGAGAACTTCCGCTGCTTGGAGGCTGTCGTTGGCAGCTACCCAGTGGAGCGGGGTCCAGTAACCCTGCCTGTCCCTGCTGTTGACGTTGACCCCTAGTTCTAGCAAGAAGCTGACGACGTCGGCTCTGTTTTCAGCAGATGCTCGGTGAATAGGATATATTCCACCCTTTTCTTCGATTTTAGCTAATTTTTGTAACGATTCTCTATCCAGTGGACCTGGCCAGTTAAGGTATTTTTCGATCTCCTCTTCTATTGTCTCACCGAAATTATGATTGATCTGAAAATTGATGACAAAATTATATTAAATGTGTTATATTAGGGTACATAAGGACATTACACTCTATACAAAACATCAGATTAAAAAATCTTTCCTAGATAAGAAAATAAATTGTGTTCTGACTGTGTTATTAATACAGACAATTCCATTATCTGTAATGGAAATCAATGATTGTATAAATTAATAAATAATGTGAAATTTTCATCCAACTATTGTTTAAAATATTGGATAATTCATATAGGAAAAAAAAGATAAATGAAATATATTATATAATAATCCATTCATTATCACTCAAAAATATATCAATATACTATTATAAATAATGAATTCAATAGCTATCGGCATGCCACTTTGTTGATAAGGAACATTTAAGCTTAAATTATTTAATACTATGTTTCAAATTTTACTTTTCTGATTAAGCTAGGTTATAATGTACTCGTATCTCAGTAGGTTAAGGATCGGCATCAACAATTATTAGAAGAAATAGACATATTTATCAAATATATACGTAGACAATTTTATATTTGGAATGTATAAAAATTAGATAAATAATATTTATCGATACATACGACAAAATACCAATATAACATCCATTTATTCTACTAACGTAACTAGTTCCGTGAATAAAATAAATAATATTATATATAAAATAATATTATGAATATAGTACTGAAAATTTAAAATGATATATAAATTAAAGTCAGAAAAATTGACAATAAGTAGTGAATAACCATAATTAGTCCATAACCTTTCATTTACAACGCCAAACGCCCAGTTTTTACATGTTAAGATGAATTATTGTTGCGTGGATCAAATAGTATCCCGTGTTATATAATATTTATTATGATATAAATTTATCTATCACATTTATGTTACTTTTGTACACTCCATTTTTCTGTATGAAACGGTTTTATTCCGATTCGATTTAACCCACAAAAAATATTGAATCGAAAAAAAGGTAAAATTGTTTATAAATGAAATTACATATAAAATCAAATTTAAAATCATTGATAATATTAGATCTTAATCAATTGATTATATTAAGAATTCTATTAAGTTTATGTTTTTAGTTATTTAGTTTAACTCAGAACCTATAAACTCAGTAAATTATTTATTTCATCGTTATTTTTTTTAATGGTATGTTTCTTATTATAATTATACTATAATAATTATGTCTTATAACATGATATTGCAAGTTTTTATTCTTAAATTTTAATTAAGATTACATAAATTATAGTGTATTTGTAGTAATTATAAAATTTTCAAGGATAACATTTCGAAGGTAACAAAATCACATGATTAAAAAAATAAATTTTATGTTTTCATAGATTAGACAGCCATTAAGAGGCTTCATAAATAGTTATATTTAAAAAAACAAAAATATTAGTTTTACACACAGACACATACACATTTAAAAAAAAAATTGTTCGTTAAAAAAAATATTAAAAAAATGTTAAAATCGAACAAAAAAATGTTGTTGGATCACGGTTATCTTGCAGCCCAAACATGTTTGGTACAAAACAGAAACTCATTTTATTTTTTACTCGATCCTCAGATATTACGAAATGTTAATATAAATTAAAATACTACGATATAATATTTATTGAATTATGACGACGAAACACTTATTGGTGTGTTTTTGTATTTTAAAAAAAATAATATTATAAGAGCTTATGCTCTTCTGGTAGCCAATTAATTTGGTCGAACTATATTTTAACAGGAGCTGTATTTGTTTTGTGAATTCGATTGCACATAAGTACTCACATATTAATGTTTAATTTTGTTATATATATATATATATATATATATATATATATATATATATATATATATATTTATTTATCATATACAGGATGTCTCGGTTCTTAATGGCCAAACTCTGGGGGATGATTCTAAACAAAATTTCTAAAAAAAAAAAATCATTTGATGCATAGGCTGATTCCGAACGTAATAGGAGTGAAGACCAATTTTGTGTGGTCACATTTTTTATTGAATAAGAAGGGATTGATCAAAAACTGTTCAAGATAATAAAATTCTAACTATACCATCGTAAAGTAGACATTTTTTTTTTTTTTTTTGAGAAACAGTGATTACATTTGTTAGTATCAATGATAAAGAGACTTTCAGGAGGTCTAATACAACCGCTGTATTGCTAAAGTCACAGTACCCACATACGAGCAGCATATCTCTGTATGGCAATCGTATTAGCCTTATTAGACCAATTACATATGTTTTATGTTCTATAAACAGCTATATAAGACTACAATATATAATTTAGAAATAAACTTACCACATTACAGTTTATCAAATGAAATAAGAAAAATAAAGACAAAGGCAAGATCCATCCCATAGTTATACAATATCAGTTGGTTTCCTAAATGACGAATACCTAGAATAAACATTGTATTATAGTACCAAATCTACCCAATTATGTTTATTGCCTTTAATAACTTTTACGTATTATGTATTAACATTGCAAAGGTAAACAGTTATGAGGAGTGAAGTGTGAAGAGCACTTACCGCGACAAAGGCTGGAGAGAGATTAGTTTAATGAATTCCCTCCTAACTGCGGAAACTCTAACCTTGGAAACAATTCTTCACATCATTCTTCGTCACTTCTTCTTCTGTATACAGTAGGGTGTGCACATACATTTTTCCTTCCCCATTGAAAATCCGTCCCCCTTCCTCCCACTCATCTTTGGGCTAAATTCACCAGTATCTGACCGGCTTGAGGAAATTTCTTTGAAGCTTCAAGTGTAAATACTTAAATATTGATGTTGTTGTATGTCTCTCGTATTCATCTTATTGGAATATTTGTCATCTTACCATGTACACAATTTGAATCGATGAAAAATCCATCTATATTGTAAAAAAACATTAATTTTAGAAAATAATTTCGTTACACCAGTAGCTAACATTGTTTGATTTGGAATGTTCATGTAGCTGACTGATATGAGAATAAGGATATTATTATGCGAAATAAAGGGTTGATATTTTATATCTTTCATATTATTAAATAGTAAATAACAGAAATTACCTTTAACTAATTATAAAACTGACTTTACTTCTTTTCCGGACTGAAATTTTTCGATAAATATTCGCCACTGTCATTATATATTTAATTCAAATCACTTATTTTTTGTATACATATATATCTTATTGCTTTATCCTTACACTTTCCTAAGGCATTTTAAGGAAGGGATAAGCCGATTTTTAAGATCTGTTGTATTAAATAGAACTCTTTGAATTATGGGGTAAAAAGTCCCATAATTTAAAAACACACTAAGAAACAATGGAACAAACATTTTGAGATTAATCAAAGAAGTTATGGAAAAAAACAAAAAAAACATAAGGTATGATGTTCTTACTTATAGCTAGTTAATGCCCCTACTTATAATTAGTTGTTTGTGGAACCACAAGGGACCTTCCTAAATTACCACCCATTATTTCGGTTAAGGTTTCTGAAAAAACTAAAACAAAGCAGACAAATATAGAAACTATGAATTTTCTGAAATCTTTTTATTCAATTTTTTTGAGGAGGAAGGGTCACTGTCAGCTAGTGGTGCTTTTACCCTATATCATTCTATGATAGTTTAAATGGGAATATATTTATTGCTTGGAAAGCATGTGCTGTTATTTGTGTTTTATTGATTATCATCTAACGTGTTTTGTTACAGGCAATTGGTTCATTGGGCGATTGAGTACTTAATTAAAATAATAATGAAAAAAAAACTGCTTACTATATAATGGTTCATTATCTCTAAATAATTACATTTCAAATATGCGTGGCGTGTCACATTACTTTCTTCTCTAGTTCTGGTAAATATTAAAAAAATAAGTTGCCTAATTTTAATATGATCAGATTTTTATTTATTTTTTTGTAAAAAAAAATTTATAAAACCAAATTCTTAAATCAACAACCTCAACTGCTTTTCTAGATGTAAAGTATCCAAGTTAAGACAACGCTACGATTAACATGTCCGAAGAGACTCTTAGGAGTATCAAAAGAAGCTGGATGAGGGATTTTCTCGGTCATCTTTTGAAATCAAGACAAGAAGGGATGCCGCTGGGCACTCCTCTCCCTAACGCCGATCAAGCCACATCCAATATTTTTATATTTTTCGAAATAAATTTAAAAAAAATTAAATCTGAAAAGTCAATATAGCATTACATTAGTATGTAAAATATGCGTTCAAAAACACCAGATCTCTGCCCCAAGTTGTCCAATTCCAACAAATATTATAGGTTATTTCATCATCTTCCAAATGAGTAATTGCGTTTATAATGAATCTGCTAATTGTTTGAGTTATCTTCATCAAATGAATCAATTATTTTATTAGAGATATATATAGAGATTGCACAACTTATTTATTTTGATTCTTAAGTTAGTATCATTCCATTTTTTCGTTTGTATTACTTTACTTATTTATGTTACAAGAAAACGTTAACAATGATTCTCAGTTCAGTTTTAACTAATGCCAGAATAAAGGCTGTAATTACGACCAGTTACCAAAAACTGTCCTCGTCAGAACGTATTAAAGATGCGAACCTACAAGAAGGGAAGGAATTTTCACGGATAATAGTAAAGAGGCTAGGGCACCACCAATCAACGATAGTTTTGAACAAAAAAAAAAAAAAAAATAATAAAACAAAAAACACCATAGAGCGAAAGAAAGGAACAGAGTGGAGACAAAAACAAACGAACAATTTGAATGCTTAATTGTGCGAACGTTTTTAGAATATCGTTTGAAAACTGGCAAAGAAATATCTAGAGATCTTGCAGATAGCAATCTGGTAAATAAAATAAACTTTAATAAATTGTTTACAGGGTGATGCAATTTCTATGGCTCGTGACTGTGTGTAATGGTCACAGTTTCATTGTAAATTTAGACGATAAATATTTTTTTAAATCATTATTTTATTTTTTGTAAATAAAATAAGGATATAGGCAATTAAAGTTTCGCAGTAGTTGCTTTTAGGTAATAAGGATTTTTTTATACAACTTGAGGTGAATCGCAACTTAATAATAATAATAACGTAATAAATCCGTACTTAAATAATATGGACTTAAAACATATTCAACAAGAAAGTTGATCTAAACGTGGAATATTTGTAGTGCGGTTAGAGGGTGGTGAACATTTTTTTTTAAATATTTGTTTTTTGTTTTTTTTAAATAAAACTTAGCTTAGTTTAGGCGCTGAAAAGTCTCCTTTAATGATTTTTACAAACTCTAGATTCATTCAATGTAAATTCTGTCTAGTTTACAGTGCATTATTAGCTAATTACTTATTTTTTTTTTCCTTTCCAATTCGACAGATAACAGTACTTACTTAAAAATACACAAATCTTAAACTTCCTAGTTTCTGTGGATTGGACCATCGTTTATGTATGCTTTGTTGTGGCTCTTGAGGTGTGTTATCATCCTTTTAAATCTTCTCCTACCTCCTCCCCCCACCCCTAAGCACGGTACAACATTTAATGTCGAATTTATGTTTAATTGTTGTATTTATATTTAATTTATTTATTTAATTTATATGTGTTTGAGCGAGGAGTCCTCAGAAGGATTTATGGTCCAGTAAAGGAGGGTGATATCTGGAGGAAAAGAAAAAATAGGAAGCTCAGTTCTCTCTATACAGACATCGACGTAGTCACGTATATTAATCTGGCCAGACTAAGGTGGGCAGGGCATGTGGCCAGAATGAGCACCGTTGAAATACCAAAGAAAATAATGATGGAGGAGATGCACCTCGTAAGACGGGTAGGAAGGCCGAGGACGAGATGGTTGGACAACGTGGCCTATGATGCGAGAATCCTGCTTGGTGTACGGAACTGGAGAGCTGCAGCAGAAGACAGAGCCAACTGGCGGAGGCTCTTGGAGGAGGCCCAGTCTCGGTAACGGGATGTGTGGCACGACGATATGATGATGATGATGATTTATATTTAAAAATGATGTTTTTTTTAACATAATAATCTTTATTATTTCAATTTGTAAGGTATTATTTTAATAAGTCAGTATCACTTTTGGCATAGCACTGTGATGTGATGCATAAAAAATAAGCGATTGTTTGTTGATTTTATCCATTTTTGTTTCCATCTACAAGATGTGTGTATTTTAGATGTATTCCATTTTTTACATTTCTCATATATACATATATATCTTTTCCTATATTAATCTCCGTGTTAATTTATAGTTTGCAATGCCATTGTGTATTATATAACATATAAATAATTTATCTTATTTTAGTTAGTTTTTATTTTTTTGTTGGAAGTGTTTTTTTCATAAAATTAATTTAATGCCGTTTCCTAATTGTATTTATTTATTTATTCTTATTTTATGTATCTTATACCGGGATAATGCAATATTGTGATCCCGTTGCTCATCTTCAGTCATATACCTTTCATCTATGTATGTACCAAGTTTTTATGTTTTAATATAAAAAGTCAATATTTTTTCTCTTCTGGAGGTTTTGCTTTTTCTTTCTATACATGTAATTCATTTTTTTTTCTTATTTTTCAGTGCAATTATAGGTATAGTTAAGAAGATTTTATTTTATTAGTAGTTGTTTACATACTATGATTTAAGTTGTTGTATATATTGTTTAAACCTTTAGTTAGTTTTTGGCCAGATATACTTTTTTTTTCTTTTGAAACTGTTCATTATTGTTATTCTGAGGGGACATCGTTCCAGAATAAAGTTTATTTTCTATTTCTATTTCTATGCAAAAATGTAAGCTAGCGTGAAGGAATTTGAGGGACAGTAAACTTTCTCAACATCAAACTCTTTCAGTCCGAATACCTTGATGCTCCGTTCTATATAACCAACAAAACCCTGCACCATGACCTTAATATACCATTTGTCTTAGGTCTTACCCCAGAAAAAATTTCCAAATTCCATCAAAACCTTACATATCATGCACAATCCCTATCGAGCTCCACCCATCCCTACAATCCTCCTTGAATATTAAACCGGAAGTGGTCCAGAGACCTTTTATAGATCAGTATATACTGGACTTCTTACAATGGCCGGATTCTCCACTCAAACAATGTGTGTCTGGTGATAGAGCCTCTGCTCAGCCTCTATTGATTCTTAATACCAGTTATCTGACTGAGAGAGAGGCTCTTGAATCTCCTAGAGTTCAATTCGCTGTTTAATTTATTTTTGTCTATTGTACATAGAGTGTGAATGTTCTCTCTGAAAATTATTATAAATGTCCTTTGAGACAGATAGTACTATTTCTCAATAGACAAGTATGTCTGAATTCTTATAAATATTATAATTTAGTCCAGGAATATATTAGAAATCGGTGATGTTTACCAACTTTGGTAACAAATTTAATAAAGAGACTCAGATATTCTTACCATGAAAACGGCTGTCCTAATTGAAAATATT